TACACAATAGGTTGTTCAAGACAGTTGTTTTTAAATTCTAAATAATTAGAATTTAATAGATATTATAAGTATTCAAATATAAAAGTAAAATTAATCGAAGCACAAGGACAATAACACTTGCAGTTATGAATTAACACAATCAATAATTAACACCAAATAAAACAAAGAAAAACAAGTTCTAGTCATCCTCAGCTAAAGCAGTCACACTATTTTCAGAGTTTAATTTAATATCTTATTGCAAACTGTAGCTTGAGACCCTGATCAGCTGCTGTGAGCCAGCACTATAACGGGACCGAATAACTAAAATCTCAGCATGCATCAAATTATTAACTCATCCATCATATAGCCGGTAATCTACTTGTTTAATGACTTAGAAAGATCATTCATGAATAAATTAAAGCAGAACAGGTGACAATATCTCATCTTTTTTGAACCGCATATGATCAAAGTCATGTTTTTTCTGTTATATTTGAAAGCAACAAATTCAATTCAGTTCAAAACTTCCTTCAAAACATATCTACAAGAATCTTTGCTGTTTTTAAAAAAATCTAAATTACTGTTATTACACTCTGCATCTGAATACTCAAAACACAGTTTGGGACAATTTAGGTCTTTTGAGCTTAACATAGCTGTCCCAAAGGAAGTAATGTGGGGGGCACAGCTTTCACTTTTCATTAGAAAATCATTTTAATGTTTGGACAGAAGACGTTATCTCGAGTTCATGTAAGTTTAGATTATGGTTTATGTTCTAAGTCCTTGGTTGTACTGTTTAAATTATTGTCATTTCCCTAGGTTTCAGTTATGGTTGTCGAGAGTTTAGTTCTTATGTTTTGTGAGATGGCTTCCCTGTGTTACCTGCTGTGTTCCCTGTGCCTTTCTGTCCCATGTTTCAGGACCCTATGTTTTGTCTTCCCAGTCTGTTAAGTTTACATGTCTTGAGTTCAGTCAATGTGTTTCCTGTTTGACTTCGAAGAGGTCCTGTGTTCCTGTGTTTAGTTTTACACTCCCCTTGTGATGTCGTTATGTTCATGTGTGTCAGCTCATGTGTTCCCACTTCCCTCATGATCCTGCTGTGTGTATTTAGTCCGTGTGTTTTCAGTCATTCCTTGTCAGGTTGTCTGCTCCACGTCGTGTCTTCAGGTATCTGTGTCAGTTCGCCATGTTTAAGGTTTGGTTCACCCAGTTTAGGTTATTGTTCAGCTTCACCCATGCCCTTTGTTTGTATTTATTTTGCCAGCCTTAATAAACTGCTCGTTTTCTGTTAATCCACGTCACGTTTCACATTCTGTTTTTGGTCTGCATTCGAGTCCTTTTTCACATCACGTACAGTCTGCCTCAGCCAGGCTGTGACAGGAGTAACCTGGGACAACAGCTTTCACTTTTCATTAGAAAAGCATTTCATTTCTTGACAAGTAAATCCGTTGGGCATCTTTCTTTGCCTTTAGACAACAATTCTGATGGCAAAAGAGTCAAACGGGACTGGCAAAAAAAAAAAAAAGCAAAAAAAAAAAAGCATTTCTTTGTTTTTGTTGGACATAATAAGCCTGTCACTAAACAACTTATTCAGATCGGCTCTGCTATTTTAACAGTTGACCCAACCCTGCTCTCCTATCACCATATGAGAAGATTATCTCGTGAGTCTTCTTAGAGAGAAACAAACATGCTGGCATGAGACTGAAATAAATATAACAGAAAGTTGGACAGTGATGTGATCATTCTGTTTGGACAGAAGACGTTATCTCGTGAGAGTCAAACAACCAACTCAATGTGTGCATTTGATCTCAGTCAGGTCGGCTCTTATCTTTCTACAGCTGACCCAACCCTGCTCTCCTATCACCAACATCTCGTCTCATGTTGCCATGAGACTGAAAGAAATATCACAAAAGGTTGGATAGTGTTGTGAAAATACCTGTAAGACCTGTGGGTTACACCCAAAATGTTTTCATTCACTCGTGTTAATGAGCTAACAATGAACTGCAAATATTCAGGACGGTCTGTAAAGTAACACTTTTGTCAATGAAATGCTTTGATGGAGAAAAGCAAAAAGTTCTGTTCAGTTGATGTTCACGCTGTCCTTTGTTTCACTTTTCTGTGTTTCTAAGACAGTTTTCTGTTCATGTTTGTTATGTTTGTTCTTCATTGTTGTGTTTATGTGTTTTTACCCACCTCCATGTGGACAGAAATACAACTCAAAGTAAGGAATTGGTGCTACAAACTCATTGTGCTCCTCCACCTAATAAGACACAGATTTAACTCACTAATATGGTTGTTATGAAATGACTTCCAACTTTCCTCTTTGGCAGCTTTTGCAGAATTATGATGTGAAAGCACTTTAGGTTTAAAGGTGATACATACATGAATGAACGTGATGAAATTAAATTTTAGCTGACATTTTTCTTTTATTCTTTAAGTCAACAGTTTCTTCTGATGGGAGGCCGTGCTGTCATGCCCCAGGTTAAGAAGTGTGATATTCTGATGTTATTATAGTCTAAAAGTATTTTCTCTGACATACAAATAAACCTAAACAGTGTGTTTTCCCTGAAGATTCATAGATTTGGTTTTCCTTGTCTTCTGATTGGAGTTATTTTTGTAACTCCAATCAGAAGTTAAATAAAACCGCCTTTAGTTCACCTCTCTTGTTTCTTCAGTCCACCTCTGCCTGTCACACAGCTGGCATTCACACCCAGCAACACTGTAAAGAATCTTGTTCTTCAGTTCACATATGAGTTGTTGCTCCATTTGAACAATATCTCTAATATTAGAAACATCCTGAAAAACTAGTTCATCCAGCTAAGCCCCAAATGGCTTTCTGAGCTTCCTGCTTGAAAATTACATGCTCAAAATGAATGGAGTGTTTCTCTGCAATTACAAACTCTGTGTAAACAATCCTGAAATCAAAATAAAGATAACACTTGAGATTTCATCAGTGGTGTAAAAATTTCAGCAGATGTTACTGTGTCAAAGTTACTGAGTCTAGAACACAGAAAAACTAAGTAGATTTTTTTCATCGCCTAATATATTTGTTTATTTAGCATATAACCCTTTTAAAAACATGCTTTAGTTCACCTTTTAATCAAAAATTCTGTAATCAACACATAAACATCATCTGTGCAAAGATTTATGTTTCTAAAGTCAAACAGTCAAATTACAGCACATTTAATAAATAAATATTCAGGCATTGTCCAGCCATGTACAATTTCAGCACACTGGGCACCATATATGAGTTGCATTTTTTTAGGTGTTGAACAGCAGAAATTATTTAATTTCATTAACATGTCTAAAAAAGCTTGTTTTTTGAATATAAGAATTAGCCACAGCTGGCCCTTTCTGCCCTGCGCACGGAGCCTTTAAATGGCCTCTGGAGCTTTAAACTCTGAGGGGCTGTAACTTTGGCTACAATTTGCATGATTGACACCTCTTTTTAAACATTTGAGCCAATAGAATCACAGTTTATAAGGCTGCGGAAACAAGCAGTCGGCTGAGACTGAAGAAGTCACTTAGATGAGTGATGAAACATTTCTCCCACTGAAAACACTACGTCCAGATGAACAGAATCAACTTTTTGGAGCTATACTATATTGTTCTTTCCTTTTGATTTTTTTTTTTATATTTAAAGATTTTTTGGCGATTTTTGGCTTCTGTTTTTGTTGGTTTGGGAGCAGATACAGGGGTTAGGGCTAACAGCAGCTGCTGTGCTGTTAGAAAAACTCAGGAAGAATCTCATTTTAAGTCCTCTTAGTACAAGTCAAGTAAAGCGAAACATCTTTTACATTATAAATCACTCCTTGTACTTTAGTGTTCACTTTTATTATTCAGTACTGTGTGGTAATACATAGAAAACTTCGCTTCAACCATTAAGTACACTTCAGAAAAAAACAATCAGGAGCATTAATCCAGTTTCATTTAGAGACCACACTAACATTTTACTTTGGAAGTAAACCATCTTGAAGTTGATGGACCTCTTATAATATAAAACTACATGAATTATATATAAAGCCAGATATAATATGTTACCAGGACATGTACAGGGGATGTTTTTGATAGAGAGGGAAAGTTAAAGCTGAAGACTGTTAATGCACAAACATAGTTAAACATTTTATCTTATTTGTGGAGTAAAACTTTTGAACAGTTTTACAGTGAACCTACATAAATGTTCAGGAATTATTCAGTATAAAAAACATTTCTGAAACTCCTTTTGGAAGCATATGTTAATGACTTCCAGGATTCCAGGGGACCAGCTCCACTCACTCCTCACAGCGAATTCCTTCCTCGCACACACATCCAAGCCAAACAGCCAACACTCTAAAAACTAAAACTGATTTTTACACCTAAAAATATTGAGTAGATTGGAAACCAGTCAAATCTGTTCAATATACTTGATCAATTGAATAACTAAAGCTTAAACATATAAAGTTGAAATAGTAGTTGTACAAACTGGCTAAACACAGACGACCTGAGTCAACAGATAACAGGTAAAACTGAAAGTAGAGACTGACTGATTGTCAGAGTTAACTTCATGGAAACCAGATTTAAAGAACCTTCTTTTTAACAGTTTACAATGTTACTCTGGAATATTTTGGAAATGTATTTTATAAGGAGAATCTGACTTGTTTACTCAATTCTAGCAGCGGCCATGGATTACAAACTATGTCAAACATGCCAAAGACAGGTAAACCCCATCTTTCACAGTATCAGTATCTTACTAATATATTAAAAGGTGAAGTGTTCAGTGAAGGTGGATTGTTTAACTGAAGTAGTAAGTTTTATATGACCTTTAATTCAGGTGGCAGTCATGGCAAAGATTCCTTCACTGACCCCAAGAAGTGTTTAAAAAGTAAGACCAGTGCTTTGAACTTACAGAAAGCAAAATATGGCAAGAAAGTTCTACTGATGCTAGCCAAGTTACTATGATTAAATGCAGCTTCACATTTATTTATTTATCTATTGTATAGCATAACAACTGATTACTATCAAATCATTATTGCCATACATCAATACAGGAAACACACTGGTACCACAGTAAAACTTGTTCTACTGGGAATGGCTGGAACTGGAAAGAGTGCAAGTGGAAACACCATCCTCGGAAAGAAGAGCTTCATGTCTAAACCCAGTTCAAAGCCGGTCACCACAGAATTCCAGGTGGCAGAAACTGAGATGAATGACTTACATGTACGTGTGATTGATAGCCCAGACATCTTTGATGATGACATTGAAGCATCAGTCACAGACAAACATGTAAAAAAGTGTAAACAGCTCTGTGAGTCAGAACCCTGTGTGTATGTACTCGTGATGCATGTGAGCAGATTTACAGATTGTGAGAGAGACATCATGGAAAAGTTAGAAAAAGCTTTTGGGAGAGAAGTTAAAGACAAATCCTGTTCACACGGGGAGACGACCTGCAGCAGGCAAAAATGATCTTGAAGGATTTCCTGCATTCCTGCCAACCTGGTCTGAGGGAAATAGTTGAAAAGTGTGGAAACAGGTGTGTTCTCTTTGAGAACAGCAGGTCAAGTTCACAGGAAGTGGAAAAGCTGATTGACACGGTGATCGGGCTGTTAGAATAACAGGCAATATAACCTCAGGTGTCACATAAGACCAATAAAGCAGATGTTTTCTGTAACAATGCAAATGGGTTAGAATATAAAATGATATTTAAAGCCTCCAACTGGTAGACAATACAGGTTCTCTAAATACTGGTTAAAATGTGTTCATTTTAAATTGTTTTACTGAATTGGTCAAATTAAAAAAACTTTCTCGCTTTGTGAGGATCTGTAAAATGTAACAAATTAACAAATTCATACAAAAAATGGGCAAATTAATGTTGAATGCCTCTTGATGCATGCTCAATCATCCAGATAAGGAAATCTGAAAAAGTTGATTCTGTTCATCTGGATGTAGCGTTTTCAGTGGGAGAAATGTTTCATCACTCATCCAAGTGTCTTCTTCAGTGTCAGCTGACTGCTTGTTTCCCCAACCTTATAAACAGTACGTGCACCCCGTTCACATTGGTGTAAGCTTTATCCAGGCAGTTCTCTCCCCTGGTTGGGAAGTTCACGTGCTGATGGAATTTGGGGAGAACTGTCTTGAAATTCTCGTGGTTGAAGTCGCTAGTATTAAATCCAGTTCTTTGTATTCTTCACGGCAAAGAAAGACACGGCTCAAAGTGGTCAAAGCTCAAGAAATGATCTTTAATTTTACATATTCCGGAATATGGAGACTGAGCAGGCACACAGACATGCCAGCCAAAGTCTGAAGCAAAAACAGGAATCTTAGTTATTTATATACTTCATCTAGACGTCACACACACTTTAAGTTTCGATCAAACACCCTACTTAGTTTCACTTTCTGCTCCTGTGCTCTGCAAAAGCATGCAGTTTCCCGTCAGTACGCTTAGTTCAAACTCAAACCTGGCCCTTTCTTATACATAAACAATATAATCAGCAAATATGTTAAGCCCTGTGTTTCTCTGTGTCCGTGTCGCGATCTACTCTCATCTTGCTGTGTGTCCTGTCCGTTTGCCAGTCTGTGTAAGTTTATTTTTGTATTTTCGACCGCATTGCCGAGTCCCCAGATTTGAGGACCATGGCAGTCGGGCTGAGTGCAGTGGATGCCATCATTCGGCATAACCCTCGGCTTTCTCAGTTTGCTAAGGACACTAAGTCGGAGAACACCATAACTGCCTGGAGAGAACAAGTCAGGGCTGGTGAGCTTGCTCTCTCACTCACTAAATCTCCCCCATCGCTGCTTCAGCCAGACACACACTCCCCACCTGCCTCTACACTGCCACGGACTTTCTCTCCCCCCACGCGCCAGCCAGGACCTGGTTCACCTGTCCGTTTGCCTGCCTTTTTCCTGGCAGCCATGTGGTCGGATGTTGAGGAGGTCTCCGTTTCTCCACCAGTTCCAGTTCCCTCGTCCAGAAGGAAACGACGCCACCGTCACTCCTCTCCTCAATCATCTGTTCTGCAACCTGGTCCTGCTGGAGGGTCCGAGGGACCGCTTCAGCCGTCTGTTCCCGCTGGAGGGTCCGAGGGACCGCTTCAGCCGTCTGTTCCCGCTGGAGGGTCCGAGGGGCCCGTCCAGCCCCCTGCTCCCACTGGAGGGTCCGAGGGGCCCGTCCAGCAACCTGCCTCACCTGCAGCGCTACCACCTGCGGCTCCCACGCCGTCGCCTGCAGCTCCACAACCTGCGGTTCCCACGCCGTCGCCTGCAGCGCCGTCGCCTGCAGCGCCGTCGCCTACAGCGCCGCCACCTGCGGCTCCCACGCCGTCACTTGCAGCGCCACCACCTGCGGCTCCCACGCCGTCGCCTGCAGCGCCGTCGCCTGCAGCGCCGTCGCCTGCAGCGCCGTCGCCTGCAGCACCATCGCCTGCAGCACCACCACCTGCGGCTCCCACGCCGTCGCCTGCAGCGCCACCCTCGTCTGGTCCAGCCTCCGAGTCTTCGCCCTCGTCTAGTCCGGCCTCCGAGTCTTCGCCCTCGTCTGGTCCGGCCTCCGAGTCTTCGCCGCGTCGCCTGGTCCAGCCTCCGAGTCTTCGGCTTCTGCGTCGCCTGGTCCAGCCTCCGAGTCTTCGGCTTCTGCGTCGCCTGGTCCAGCTTCAGCTACAGCTTCTGCTTCGCCGGGTCCAGCTTCAGCTACAGCGGCAGCCTCTGCTTCAGCCTCCGTGTCTTCGCCTTCAGCGTCGCCTGGTCCTGCCTCACTCCGTCTAGCTTCGTCTGCGCCTCAGGTCTCCATGCCGTCTGGTCCTGCACATCCGGTCCGGCCTGCTCGTCCTGGGTGGGTTTCTGTGTACTTTGCCTAGTTGGGGCCCATTTAGTTCCCAGATTTTACCAATATAACACAGAGATGGGCTTATAAAACAGGGCCATTATGGAACCCGCGGACAATCCCACTTTAAACCCACTTTTTAGCCTATGTGGTACCCACATGGTAGCCACAAAAAACTTGAGAGGTGGGGCCCAGGTTGGTTTCTGTGTACTTTGCCCAGTTGGGGCCCATTTAGTTCCCAGATTTTACCAATATTTAGCAAAAAAGTTTGGGAACCACTGCCTTATAATATTAATAAAACTGAATTGGATTGAATCCTGGAAAAGAACAACGGGACACGAAAATTTTAGCTTTATTGAATTTGTTTTTCCAGTTTACAAAGGTTAACAAGCTTTCATTGCCTCATTTGACAAAACTCCATAGAAAACCATAAAAGGTCATTCTTCTCTTCTTGTCTGTATGGTAATTCATATGATTCAGTAAAAGGACTAGATGTTACAATCCCTGACAATGCATTGCTTTAAATGGAGAAAATATTGGGGGATGGCTGTTATGAGGAAAAGCAGCTCAGAAACTTTACCAGCAGCACATCGTTGTGTGCCTCAACTTTCCTTCTTTTACCCAAGCTAATCTGCCATTTTTCCCTTGGTCAAGGGGGGTTTAGGGATTAGAGATCTGATCCAAATTATCATACTAACATTTGGGACACATTGTCAGTAGTGTACCTTTGATTCATTGGGTGTTTCGGCCATTCTCACTAGCCACCCTCATCCAAGGAGCCCCCCCGATGTACCTCTTCAAGATACGGACTAACTCAATGCTCTATCTTTACATAAAAGTTAAAAAAAACCTTTTCCAAACACTTTAAGTTATAAGTTCTTCTGGTCTTTGAGTATTGCGTTTACCAAATTCATTAGTTTTTCAACCTGATCAGGACCTGATTTGTTGTTCTCAAAGAGAACACACCTGTTTCCACACTTTTCAACCATTTTCTTCAGATCAGGTTGGCAAGAATGAAGAAAATCCTCCAAGCCCATTCCTGCCTGCTGCAAGTCGTTTCCTCGGGTGAACAGGATGATTGTTCGTCCTCTAACTTCCCTCCCAAAAGCTTTTTCTAACTTTTCCATTATGTCTCTCTCACCATCTGTAAATCTGCTCACATGCATCACAAGTACAAACACACATGGTCCTGACTCACAGAGTTGTTTGCACCTTTTCACATGTTTGCCCCTAACTGATGGAGCAATGTCATCATCAAACATATCTGGGGTATCAATCACATTTACGTCTACACCACTGATCTCAGTTTGTACAGCCTGGCAATTTGTGGTGACCGCCGTTGAACTGGGTCTAGAAACAAAGTGTTTCTGTCCAAGGATGGTGTTCCCACTGGCACTCTTTCCAGTCCCAGCCATTCCCAAAAGAACAAGGTTCACTGTGGTGCCAGTGTGTCGTCCTGCATAAATGTATACCAATAATAATGTAAGTGAAAAAACTTATTATGCTACATTAAAAAAAGTAATCAATGTAATCTTGTACAGTACTATTAAAATACAAAAGAATGCGGTTATCATTAGTGAATCTTTATTGCAGTGTTTTTCATTAAGTGCTCTTTGTTTGAGAAATCATCTAAACAATGCTGATTGACTGAATAACCCACTAATATGTGCTTTATATAGTACTTAAAAGTGATTGTGGTTTACCTGTCTTTGCCTCATTAGTGTGCGGTCTTAATATACATTGTGATCCACGGTCCCAACTACAAGTTAGATATAGAAGAAATACAACTTCATCAGGAAGCTGGTTGTTGTTTCATTAAAAATTATTACTATAATAGTATGCAAACATTTCAGAGTATCTCTATAAGCTACATTTATAAACTATTTCATAGCATATATGTACCCCATGTAAAGAGACTACGCTCACAATTTAATTTATATGCTGAAGCTGAATCAAAAGTGCTCAACTTTAGCTTTACCTCAGTGCCACCGGTTGTCTGTCTTTAGTGTCGTTGCTTCTGACTATGCTGAAAAAGCTTCCCATGATGCAGGATTTAAACGAAAAACCTGTGGGTTTAAATGACAATGCCAGCTCAGTTGTTTTCAGATGATTCACATAAATCTTAAATCTATTGTTAACAAAGAGATTTATCATCACAAATGTTAAAATAACTTGTCTGAAATCAGAAAAATCAGAATCATTTTCTCTAAATACTGATTTTAAATTGTTTTTTTATTGCTACAAAGCAAATAAATGTACAAGCACAACTTACATTAAGTGGAAGTTGTTCAGTCTGTTGAAGCAAAACTCTGTGTGACTCTGTCTAAAGCCTGCAGACTGCTGTTCTCCGACTGTATAATACTGCAGGAGGCGTGTCATCTGTTGAGCTATAAAAAGCAACTTGTTGCAGAGCAGTTTTAGCATTCATCTCTCACCTGTGCAGTGACAACAGTGAAGAGAAAACATGGCTTTAGTTCCAGCAGGTAAGACTTATTATTAATCATTGTGTGTTTAATTACTTTCCTTTGAAAAATGTCAAAATTTCTCAGTTTCACTTTGGTTCTTGTAAAACTCTTATGTACATGGGTTAAATCGAGTTAGTGAATTCTGTTTCAGGTCCTGATTTGAGGATTGTGACGATTGGAAAAACTGGTGTGGGCAAGAGTGCTGTTGGGAACACCATCCTGGGATATGAGCGTTTCAGATCTTGCCCTTTATCTGCATCAGTGACTGAGTTCTGTCAAAAAGCTTGGGTACAGTGGGGGAAGAGAGTAATTAGTGTTGTAGACACACCAGGGATCCTGGACACTTCAAAATCAGATGAGTTCATCAAAAGTGAAATCGTCAAATGTGTTGAAGTCTCCTGTCCCGGTCCTCACGTGTTCTTGTTGGTCATCCAAATCGGCCGATTCACGAGAGAAGAAAAAAACTCAGTGGAAGCCCTGCAGGAGCTGTTTGGCCCCGAGGCAAACAAGTACATGATTGTGCTCTTCACCCGTGGTGGTGATCTTGGAAGCATAACCATAGAGCAGTATGTACGTGATGCTGAGCCAGGGCTTAAACGCATCATCCAAAGCTGTGGAAACAGGTACCACGTCTTTGACAACACTAGCAGAGACAGAAAGCAGTTGGTGGAGCTCATCAAGAAGATCGACAAAATGGTGTCAGTAAATAAGGGCACGCACTACACAGACGCCATGTTTAAAGAGGTGGAGGAAGCACGCAAAAAGGGAGTAACACTGCAGCAGTATAGGTTCACTGAGTCGTTGTGTAAACGTATCAAACTTTTTCGCATCATTCTTGGGAAAGATTAAAGTGTTGTGGTTAACTGTAATTATTCTATTCTGAATAGGACAGTTTTTGTTTACCTACACGAAATATACAGTTTGTTCATGATGACACACAGAGTGTAGATAGTTTATGTTGATTTCCCATGAAAAAAAATAATAAAATAAAATATTATTGATTAAGTGAATTTGTCTTTTAAATTTGAAGAATAAAGTATGTGAAAGTTAAATAATGATCATATAATCATCATTGTTATATAATAATCATAATATAAGCGGTGCTGTTATAAGTATTGCTTGTCTCTGTTGTATCTATTCTAATTTGTATGTGAGCATCAAATCGTGGTGGTTATGTTTGAGCTGAAGTTTACAGTGTTTAAATTTAGTTGTAAATTTGGGAGACACAAGATAAATTTAGTCAATTAAATATTTTATGCAAATGGGAACTGTGAATTATTTTCTGATTTAAAGAATGGGGACTTCGGTTTCTAATGAGAAGTCTTTATTTTGGGTCTGTTCTGCTCTGGCTGTTTGTATTAAAACATAACAAAAATTTCCCTTTAGGCTCATTATTGTTTGACAATTATTCTTGTAAAGCTTTTGGCCTAATAAAAACTAGCAATCACAGAACTTTCATCAGTTATTTGTGATCCTAAGATGACAATGTCAGAACCAAATGTTCAACCTCTTCATTCATTATTATTTTCTTGCCTGTTTGAATGAGAGAATATTAGATGACATGTATCAACAGGTTTCTAGGTATCCATCTATGTACATAAAATCCCTCTAATATACTGCTTCCCAATCATTAGGATCAAGCTTTTTTTTTTAATATTAATCGTAATGGCTTAATATTATTCATATTACTTTTTTCTTTTACTCTTCTACTAATAGTTTGTCAACATTTACTGAACTTTCTTTAAGTTATTTTGGCTATTTAATTGATTTGCTTCATTACTTTTTCTTTGGATTTCAAAGTCTGTCCTCACAGGACTGGGAAAACATATTTAAAGACATATTAAAAGAACATGTAAATAATAGTACCTGCTGAACTTTTTGAAAGGTTCTGCTTCGGACCCTAGCTAGTGTAGCCGGATGGGCTACTCGCTCGCCACTGCCTTTTCTCTCTGGCTTTCTCTATTGCCCTCACTCTTTTCTGCTCACTCTCTGTTTCTTACATGGCTAGCTAAGTCAATTACAGGGTGGCAAATGCCATTCATGCCTCCTTTCTCTCCTGCGAGAAGTGTTGTGTGCTGATAAATCTTTAGGTTAAATTAGGTGGTTTTGATCAGGCTAGACAACAGCCACAGGTACGCTGCACATTTATCCTCCAATCAGGTAAATCTCAGTCCTGACCCTCAAACAAATGGTCAAACAGAAAGACTCAATCAAGAATTAGAAACAACCCACTGTTGTGTCATTAATCATAATCCAGCTTCCTGGTCTACACACCTACTATGGGTTAAATATTCACACAATTACTATGTCTCTGCTTCAACTGGTTTACCTCCGTTTGAAGTTTCTCTAGGCTACCAACCCCTGTTGTTTCCAGCCAGAGAAGCAGAGTTGGCTGTGCCCGATCCAACACTGGGGCCATTGTCTCTCCTGCAGTCCAACACACCTGTAGCTCATTCTGGGTAATCAGATTGAGGATTTAAGCTCCACATTGACTCTCCTTCACTGCCAGTTTTTCAACTACCTCAACTCACCTGGACTCTCTATGTCACTTACCTTAAGCTCCAGCTTCTCTCGGACAATCTCTCCAATCTGGAAACCTCTCGGATCTTTACCTGCCTGCCCTCCAGCCATCTCTTACTCTCTCGGACACAGCGGAAATCAGGTCAACCAGCTCATACCATTAACTTACCTGGATACTCACCGCTTGTCCCTCAAAGCCAAACTCTATTCCAGCTAAGTAATCAAAATACCAGTTACACTCACCATCTACAAACACCCCTGTCCGCTCCACCATCCTAACATTGTTTTCTAGTGATGGCCAAATGAAGCTTTCTGAAGCTTGTATTGAAAAACGGTTCATTACTCGAAGCTTTTCAACACAGTCCTCTCTGGTGACATCTGGTGGCCAAAAATATGAAGAGCAGCTTGAATCCACAAAATAAAACCAACTGCTTCATTATGATTGCCCACTCTACAGAGTGGA